TTTAGGCAGATAAATTGGCGCTTTATCTGCCTGTATGCTCCAAATACCCCTAGAGAAAGAACATCATTCTATGAACTAGTTTCGCCGCTTTTCGACACAAATAGAACAACAGTTGCGATGGGAGATTTTAACTGCGTTTGCAGTGCAGACGACCGATCGGTGTCACAAACTAGGTATGACGGAAGTGCCGCCGCTCTACGGAGCACGCTTCAAGACCATAACCTTGTTGATGTAGCTTATAAAAAAGGTGAATCGATACGCTACACCCATTTCCAAGGAACATCTCACGCACGATTAGACAGAATATATGTCTCAGGTGATATAATCGACTCAATGAGCAATTACCAAGTCAAACCAGTTTTCTTTTCTGATCACTGCCTGGTATCGGTCTGCTTTGGGCCGCGCAGACTCCGAGGTGTTCATCAGCAGTGGGAACACTGGAAGCTCAACCTGAGGCTTCTAAGTGATGAGCAATTTTCAACTAACATCTCCTTACTTTTGTCGAATACATTGCAAAACATTGACATGCACATCTTTGCAAAATGGGATAGTTTCAAACAAGAAGCAAAAAACATCGCAATCGAACGCGCTACAATTGCATCATATATAAACAAACAACAGCAGCGCGACCTTTTTAAAAATTTAGTAACCCTTCACGAGCTTGAATGCTTAAACCCAGGCGCGTACAGCGACAATCTTAACATAGTACGAGCCCAGCTTCAAAAGTATGAAACCGAAAGGTACCGCGGAGCATTAATTCGCTCGCGGAAGAAACGCTTTCTCCTCGGCGAACAACCTACCAAAAGATCCTTGGATGACGAAAGACGTAACGCGCTGTCAAAGGAAATAGTAGAAATTAACAAAGATGGTGTGATACTCACCAACGCAACTGAAATAGTCAAATCTTTTCACCACTTCTATACAAATATATTTGGAACAGTAATACCCACAAAAGACAAGACTGAGATCGAACAGCTACTAACAGAGATGCCAAAACTTGACGAGGAAGATCGCCTTTTAATTGAAGGCCCCATAACATTAAACGAAATTAAGGCCGCCATTAAATCACTCCCAAATGGGAAAACACCAGGACCCGACGGACTAAGCGGTGAATTTTACAAAAATTTCCAAGACATTATATCTCCTGTTTTACTCGCTATATTTGAAAAATCCTACATTCAGAAAACTCTTCCCCCTTCATTTTACCGTGGACACACGGTATTGCTGCCAAAAACAAAAGATCCTGGAATGCTTAAAAAGATGGAAAACTACAGACCAATATCACTCTGCAACGTAGATTATAAGATCTACGCTAAAGTTCTCAATGAAAGACTTCAGTGCGTAATAGAAAAGCTGGTAGGTGAGCACCAAACTTGTGGGATACGGGGCAGATCTATTCAAACGAACGTACATGTTGCCCGTTCCGTCCTATAAGTCTGTGTCAGACAGTAATGACCAGGTTGCACTTGTACAAATAGACCTTACAAAAGCCTTTGACCGCGTGAGTCATTCATTTCTATTTGCCCTTCTTGAGCACGTAAACCTGGGAGAGACACTTTTGGAAGGTATTCGACTTTGCTACATGCATAGTTCGACAAGACTGAAAATCAATAACACACTTTCTGAAGTTAAGATCAAATCTTCCGTAAGGAAGGGCTGCCCTCTATCTCCCCTCCTCTTTGCATTGTATTTAGAGCCCTTATGCCTCAGCATCCTGAAAATAGAATGTATTCGTGGGTACTCTGTGGAAAATGTCGAGGTAAAAGTCCTCGCATACGCAGACGATGTGGGATTTTTTTGCGTTGACAAGAAGAGTGTCGAGAAAGCGCTTGATCAAACAGCGCGTTACTGCGCAGTCACTGGGGCATCAGTGAACCCATCCAAATGCAACGGATTCTGGTGCGGTTCCTGGGCCACAAAACCTCGTTTTTTTTGCAGGGATAGAGTGGAATCAGGGTCCGATCACATATCTTGGAGTACCGCTCTCACAAATTCGTAGTAGCTCGACGTACTGGTCCACCCTTGCGACCACACTGAAAAGGAAGGCTGATGCGTGGAAGGGTAGAGATATTTCCATCTTTACTAGAGCAAGTGTCTGTAATATATTCCTCGCTTCAAAGCTTATGTACGTTCTTCAAGTGCTTCATTGCGCTCGAACAGACATCCAAAAATTCCATAGAATATTCGCCACTTTGATATGGTGCTCAACGTGGGAACGTGTTAAAAGGGACAACCTATTCCTCCCTCTCGAATCCGGTGGTTTAGGACTAAGTCACATATTTGTCCGCCAGTTAGTGTCAAGATTCTTTTTCTTTAAAAATGCCAATCACGAGTTCCTTAGAGTCATACTCCAATCACGCCTTGCTGAGAGTTTAAGTTATCTTGTTGTTTCAACGGGCGAAACGTCGAAAAATAGGCCCTGGGGATTTTTAAAGGAAGTTGTCGATACCTTAAATTTTCTGAAAACACGGTTTTCATTGGAATATTTGTTTAGCGTGTCCAGGAAGACACTGTCAAGGAATATTACGGAAAGCTTGTTTTCACTACCACTCTATCGTACCCGTTTCACACTAGAACCCATCAATGATGTTCTCAAAGAAGTCAAGAAAATGGGCGTGCCTCCCGCAACCAAGACGTTCTTCTTCAAACTGCATACATCAACCCTACCAGTAAAAACTTACCTCCAGGAAAAAGGAATATTTGTACCGTGGACTGTTAATTGCAGACTCTGTAACAAGCCAGAGACCATACAGCATTGTTTTATTTATTGCCACGACGCGTTTTCGTTTTGGGATGTTCTACAACGCACGCTAAAAGAGATCTAATTCTTAATGACTACAGTCTCCGCTTCCTCCCGTTCGCCGAGAACGAAACCGTCCCGTACGACATATTCGCTCTGTTGGGACTTCATAGTCTATGGAAATGTCGCATGATCGATAGACATGCAGAAAAACCCCGTACGACAAAATCTCTTTTTCTAGAACTGGTAGCGCAAGTGAGGAGCGTATACGCTTCACCTCACAGCCAACCAGAGTGGTTTGCCCTGTTCGATGCATGTCTGGGTCGCCCAGATTTTTGAATGCTCTATTGACGATATATCCTTCTGTGAGCATTGTGTTAGACTCGTCGATGCAATTGCTGTGTCTAAATTTATCACATCCACTGGCCACATGTATAAGATGCCATATATAAGGTGTGTGTGCGTGACATTGGTATGTAAATAAGGTGTAAAAGTGAATGTCCTATAACTGTATATACCCATAAGTATCAACATGGTATGTCACTTGTAAAAATTTCCATGCATTAAAGAAAAAAAAAAAAAGGGATCGGTGGCCGAGTGGTCTAGCGCACACCAGCTCGGAGCACGTGGAGCGAAAGCTCGCGCTGCAGAACCCAGGGATCCTGGGTTCAAGCCCCACCCCTGCCCGTTTCGATCTGGATGAGCATTGTACCGGCGTGCGGTCGTGTATCACTACTGCGTGATGCACGTTAAAGACCCCAGGCTAGCGGCTGTACCGCACTGGCTAAATTTCTCATCTACAGCTGGGAGGCTCGTCGCCCCTGTGAGGCAGACCAAGTTCTAGGCTGTATAAACACACACACAACCCAATTTTTTTTTTTTTTTTTTTTTTTTTTTAAGCCAGAATAGAAGTTACGTGCAGTTCTTCGAGAGGCCGCTGCGGGAGAAATGGTGGCGTTGTGTTCGTCATTAGCTCGGTGCTCGGAGACAGATTGGGGCCACTTTTTCAAAGCTGTCTCTATGGGAGTTTCCCAACTGAGTGTTTTAGTAACGTTGAAAGGAGGTGACCACCGACTAAATGGCGTCTCGCGTTGTCAATGTTGCTCTAATTTTTTTTTTTTCGCGTAAAATTTATTTTTTGACACGCGTGTCGCAACTAGTCTGTTTTAATTTTTTTTTCTATAAAGGTTTTTTTTAAAAGGAAGATGTAACTAAATACGAGAAAACACGAAAAACCTCCGACTAGTCGTTACGTCCTGAGAGGGTATTCCGGACGCCAAGAGCGCGTCGCTCGTGTAGGCAGCGCATACAATGGTGAGCTTTCCAGGCAACCCCCCCCCCCCCCCCCTCCCCACTGATACCAGTCGTGACGTCTTTTTTTCACCTGTTTGAAAGATGAAAAAAGCTTTAATAGGTGCTGAAGATGCGTGAGGGTGGAAATTCTTAAACTCCTTTTATGACGTCACGCTCCAAAAAAAAAACAGGGGCTCCAGCGGTACTTTGCAAATGATTTTCTGCAGCCTCCGTGTGCCAAATTAAAAAAAAAAAAATGGTTTCAATATCCGTTGTCCTGGAGGGAAAATGAAGACGATTTAAGTGTTTCTACTCAAATACAGAAAGACTTAATCTTCCCTTTAACGTGCATAACTACGTAATGATACAAGGCCGCAGGCCTGTGCGATGCTCATCCAGCTCGAAACGGGCAGGGGTGGGGATTGAACACAGGATCCCTAGGTTCAACAGCAGGAGCTTGAACTTACATACTCCGTTTCACTTTAAGTGCAAGCGAGGCCGAAGCTACAAGCGCCAGCATGTGACCCTGAACAGCGCTTGCACTGCACCATTCCGCGTGCTTGACAAGGACGTTGAAAGCCCGGAGCTCGCTCTTGTAGCTTCCGCCATCAGTTGCTCCTTCTCAACAAAGAACACATCAAGTAGAAGAAAACAAAGAAGTAGTACAAGGCACGAGAAATGGAGCACGTGCCCTCTCCCAGTTAAACGACCTTCTCCTCCATCGCGTCTCCAAAACTCGATCAGTAGTGCCAACGTGGTGCCAACGGTCCCAGCATCAATATGGTGAACACCGCAAAGTCCTTATTTCTTCCTGTTGTGAACATGAGCGGACCCGATGCGAAGACCAGCGTGGCCCCTCCGTCCGAGGTACCCGCAGGCGGCATCTGCCCCGCCTGGCTCAACACCAACCACATCCTTTTCCAAATCGCCAACCTCTAATTACTGCTGTCCTATGTTACCCCCGGAGGACCGTACACCTTGCTTTATCTGCAAGTTGTCATCGGTCTGGGCTCCTTTTTCTACGCGCTCTGGGGCTACGTCATCCTGTGCGCATTCGACACACTCCTGTGGAACGCCCTCTTCGCGCTCATCAACCTCGTCCACATCATCGTGCTCGTCCGCGGCTTACAGCTCGTCTCGTTCTCCACCGAGCTGGAGACGGTCTTCGAAGACCTCTTCCGACCCCTGGGGGTGACGCGTCATCAGTTCCGGGGCATCGCCGACAGCGTCAGGGGAACTCGAGATCTCAGCAAACGGGATCAGTTAATCGTCGAAAAGGTCTCCCGCAACGATAACCTTTCCCTCGTGGTCAGCGGCGACCTTCTGGTGTCTAGGAAGCGGCGTCCCGTCGAGATGGTCGGTAAGTACGAGTTCCTCGAGTCTCCTGACTGGTTCGACGTCCCCGAGAGCGACCTGTACCAGGTGACCGCAACGGCTCTGAGAGCCTGCAGAGTCGTGGTGTGGAAAAGGGAGACGTTGAAGGTGGCCGTCGGCGATGACCCTTTTCTGAAGTCAGTCTTCAATAACCTTGTAGGCAAGGACCTGGCGCGCAAGTTCTACACGGCGAAGAAGTCAAAACAATTCGGCGTCGTTTTGGACGAACCGCTTTCACCCGTGTCGGTTAACACCTCAGCCTAAATTTGGACATCATCCATCGTAATTCCCGTATCATTCCGCTTTTCAACGCTTTCTGCAACTGATCCGTTCTACGGTGGATTTTGCCGGTGGATTTGGAGCAATTCAAATGTCACCCACACGTGAATCTTTAGAGCACTGGATGCGTGAACCTGCATGCGCATAAACATACCGACAAAAAGGCGCTTTGAAACTGCTCCAAATATACCCAGCGGAATTAATAATAAGAATTGTGGTTGTGTGGATATTTATACAGCGTGCAGTTGGTCAGCCATTTCAAAGTTGCGACGCGTCCCTCGCTGTAGAAGAGCAATTTAGCCAGTACAGTACGACAGCTAGCCTGGGATCTTTAACGTACACCACGCAGTACTGATACACGACCGCAAGCCACACGATGCTCATCCAGATCCAAACGGGCAGGGGTGGGGATTGAGCCCAAGATCCCCGGGTTCTGCAGCGCGAGCTTTCGCTCCACGTGCTCCGAGCTGGTGTGCGCTGGCCCACTCGGTCACCGATCCCCCTCCCAGCGGAATTGCGAATTAGAGTATCAGACTAGATAATTTCTTAGCGTAAGTGTTCGATCATGTTCGCATGTCCACGGTACTATTTACTCCCAAACAAACACCTTACGACATTTTCCAGCCGTTAAGAATATTTTCAATAATGCAGACCTCTACTACACACGCGACGACATAATAATGTTGTTGTGGTTAACCCTCCATACTTTATATACGTGCAAAGATCAGTAGTTCCTCGAGAGCAACCGGCGGTTTCAGAAGCCTAGCGTATACGCCAAAGAGTGCACCTTTTCAATTATCGAGCCTGGACGCGAGGCTATAGAGTAAAAACAGCACAAAACTTCAGTTCGCAGGTTTATTGCACTTTAAGAAATCTTGAGTGTCCGCTTTCCCGCCAAGGGCTGAAGAGAGCCGATGGCTGCAGCCTACAGGGGTTTGGAGTCATGGAATCTCCTAGGTGTGTTTTTTTTTTTTTTTTTTTTTTTTGGGGGGGGGGGGGGGGATTTTTCCAGCTATAAGAGGCCGTGTATTTTTTTTTTTTATGTTCGGTAAATAAAAACGAATCCCTGATGTTTGTAACCCACAGAGCAAGTACGCCTCATCTAGCAGTCGGGACAATTGTGCACATAACTATAGTCGGTTGCAAGCTAAGAAAAAACCGGAAATGCCTCTCAGTGGAAAATGTAATCCTACGCCGAGAAACGCCAGCCAATCGTTTTCATGACGTCACGATTCCGTGGACCAATCGCGATCCTTTTGAAAAAAAGAAAAAAAAAAAAAGCTCGACATGGCTGCTGGCCTTAGCAACGCGACGCTATTTTCTCGTGACAATTATTCTGCTTTTTTGCACCGTGTTTTACGTGCCCGAGGTTACGCCACGAAATCTTAATGGTATCGGCTTGCGTTTGCAGCAGTTTTTGCGCGACAACGTGAGAATCCAGAGACGCTATCGCCAACGAAAATTTCGAAGCGGGCGCGAGGCTTAGCACTGGAAGGCGGTATGTTAGACAGTATCTTGGACAGAAAATGAATTGGGAAGACGGTACATTGGACATGACTTTCTTTCTTTACTAAACAGCTATTTCGTTGACAAAAACGTATTCTAACTTATTTAAATGTCCTGAATGAATTAAATAAATATTGTAGTAGTTTAAGACACGTTCCTGGAGGAAGAAAAAGCAACGTTGTTAGCGAACTATACTTTCTCGACGGCGGAGGCGCTTCAGATGGGCGCAATGCGCTTGTGGGACGAGCTAAAAGATTGTTCTTAGGTTGCATCCGACTGTAGTCGTATGATGTGACCGGAGCCGATTTTACGCCACCAATGTTCTTCGTGTTTTCCGCTTACGAACGCGCGGCCATCGTGCATCGAGTCGAAAAGGGAGCAATCTAATGTGTCCATTACCCTTCTACCCAATCGATATCGCCAAGGCTTATGGGCAGTGCAAATTCGTCTGCTTTTTTGGCAGTTGTTGTTGTGACCCTAGAACGCCGAGCTTTCATTGGCTCCGATTAAAAAATGTTGGCTCAAGGCAGCTTGTTTTGAGGTCTATCCACTATTCTTCCAATCGGAGCTCGGCATATTTCTGACGTCACAGCAACTCCTGCGCAAGAAGCAGACGACTTGCTCTCCGCATTGAAAGATGGGGACTCAGCTATAATACACTGTCTATATACAGGGTGTTTCACGAAAGGTGGACAAATTCGATATTGCGAAAACTGGGCGTCGCAACAAAAAAAAAAAAAAAAAAAAAGGTTTGTTTCGTTTTCGTCCTGGGCCATGGGCCTATTTAGGAATATTACTAAAGTCCGGGATAATTAGGTTGGTAATTATTTTTGCGTAATTAACTTTTCAATATTGTCTTTAAGGGCATGGTTTCAATTAGAAAATTGCTCAGCATCATAAAAAAAAAAACACAAAATCAACATATTGCAGAATGATAGGAGGCACGCGAAGCACTTTACGGCTTTCTGAAAAACCACACAAAATCGACGGGTTTTTAAGTTTCGGTTTGCTATCGGAGCGCATCTCGGCCCCGGCGGCACCGCGCCCCGTGGAGAAATAGTGCAACCAACCTCTGCTGCGCCATGGCGCAGCGGAGGTTGGTTTCTATTTCGCACTAACCATGGCGCATGTTAATCACGTGTTGCAATGAGGTAAAACCACAAAGGCGTTCAGTGAGTTGTAAGCCTCTGACAGAGAGACATTAGGGAGTCTTAGCAGATCGTTTTCAAAGGCCCGCTACCACTACGGGCGCGCGCTTCATAGCATGCATCGAAGTGGCAGCGCGAGCTCCCGCTACAAAGAGCGTGGCCTGGAAACGCTAGAGTTGTAGTAGATCGTGTGTTCAGGCCACACTATTTGTAGCGGGAGCTCGCTCTGCCACTTTGATGCATGCTCTGAAGTGCGCGACCGTAGCGGTAGCGGGCTTTTGAAAACTATCTACTAAAATTCCCTATTAGAGAGTTTCGGTAGATCCCACGCTGAGGACAAGCGGGCACAGCTGGCGCGAGCTTAATCCATGCTTCGAAGTGACGGCACGAGCTCCCGCTAGTAAAGCGGAGCTCTAAAATATGATCTACAAAATCTCCCTAATATCTACTAAAACTCTCTATTAGATAGTTTTAGCAGGCCGTAAACTAGAGCTTCGCTTTGCTAGCGGGAGCTCGTGCCGTCACTTTGAAGCCTTGATTGAGCACGCGCACGCTGTGCCCGATCCGCAGAATACCGATCTACTAAAACTCTATTCAATACTCTGTACGCTTCCCTTCCGGCGCTTGGCGGTTAAACATTCCGCGTGTATGACAGTAGCGATTACGCGCTGCTTCGGGTTAGTCACCCTTCCATCGCCGACGCAAGACGGGTTGCACCTTTCTCTTGTTTTTAGACACAACTCCGCCTCATTAAACGTTTATTAAAGGGGCGATGCAACGATTTTTGTACTTTGCGCAAATACCGCTTAGAACGAATTCCTGACATTAATGACCTGTGAAACACCCTTTCGTTTATCCCCACACGCAATCACGAAGTCTCAGAAAAAAATTAAAGAAAAACGAGCACCGTTCATCCTCCCAACTCGCAGCCAGAACAAGCGGCCACATGATCTGGAGCCGATTATATGCCGCCAATGTTGATCGTAGCCATGCGCTGGGGTTGGCAAGGCACAGGACACGCGCTGAGTTGCAGACATCGTTATGGTTCGGCTATTGTCGTCATTGCAGCGATTGAACACGGGCCACTACCCGAATGTTTCTCGAGCTATCGAATATCACGAGCCCAAATCGATGCCCACGCAATGCTCGGGTTCAATCTATGAGTCACATTCAAATATTGTCACAAGGCGGTATCTGCCGCCCAGCTACATCATCAAGTTTTCCGAAGGAGAGAGTGAATAAAAATGCTCGCTTTTGTCCTTGAAATTACACCGCAAGAAAGGAGTTTTTTGGCTAGTGGTGTTGCGTGCGAGTATCCTTGAGTCCCACTAGTGCCAGTAAACTCGTGTAAAGTGAAAAAAAAAAAAAAAAAAACATTACAATTCAATATCGTTGTACCACCCCTTTAAGACGAAAGCCTTACTTGTCATTACGCGAAAAAAGCGGCGTCGTTGTGCCCGAAAGATGGTAATAAAAATACGCCATCAAACACGCGTCGCTCACGCACACACTCAAGTGTGGGCGCCTGATGTCACCACCGGAACGCCGTGTGCAAAAAGGTGCGCCTCGGACTTGATCTGTGCTCGTTGTGTGCTTCGTGCGATGAACTGTGAGGCGACCGCGTTTACATCTTCGGCGTCGACGCCCTTGATGTCGCCCTCGACGTCGTCCTAGAGGTCGACCTAGACGCCGTACTTGACGTAAATCTCATAACGTCGTCAACGTCGTCTACATCGTCCTAAAGGTCGTCCTGGACGTCGTCCTGGACGTAATCCTGGAGGTCGTTCTTAACGTCGTCCTCAGCGTCCTCCTAGAGGCCGTCCCTGACGTTGTGCTCGATATGTAGGCAACGCAGATGATTTCGCATTCTTATACGTATGCAGTCTTAAGTTTCCTCCTGTAATTTTTGCGTTCTAAATTCATCTGCTCATTTCATTGGGGACAACGTTGCACCAGGTAGAAAATGGTTATAAATCAACGCGTAAAAAATCAAGTGCCCGAAACACATAAGCTGACAATACATCCTTAGATGCGTCCTATTCGGAAGCAAACACGAATAACAGCCTACGTTTTGTGCCCCGTACTCACTCACGGCACAGTTATCTCTGAAGGTACTTAACTATATCGCCACTCCAGGTCAACTATAAGAACTACACAAATGCGTGCGATGACTTCTGCGAAATTGTTTAGAAGTTCCGCTGTTCTTCCTTAGATCGCAATATCGTCCTGAAATGGTGAAGGAGAATGATAGAGTTATCGGTATGTTGCAACCGCAAAACACTCATCACCTGATAATTTCTCATCTATATTTTGCTCTTTTGGCTTTGTTTCACTTGGCAAACACTTTGTTTTGGCGAGAATTTGCACACGACGTACAAGGTAAAGGTGAAGACGCGACGTGGAGACAGATAAGTTAACCAGAAGCCCCTGTCGCGAATTTCTGGCCATGAATTTCCCATGTGCCTGCTCGCTGACGCTGCTCAGTGTGCTAAAATTAATTTATTTAGCTACAAATACAAACAGTCACAGCAGGAGCATATCACAGGGATTGGGGACGTCGACGCGTGTTAAGAAAATCAGCATGTTGATTTGTAAAAGTTGCGGAGCGGAACACAGATCCTATTTTAACGCGCTCGCGTTTTCCGTTAAAACTGCACGATGCATTTCAATATAAAAAAGGGAAACCCACGAAGCATTTATTACCACTCCTAGCGATATACATCTTTATTATACCTAAGCTCAAACGACGTTGTGGTAAAAGAGGGGCAATGTAACGGGACTACTTTGAACGAAAAGGGTTGTGAGATGAATGCAAGGCTTTCTATTGTTTTATTTTTAGAGCGCACAAATTGATTTCAGATGCACTCTAAGACATTCCCATGCGTCAACTCTCCCGAGGTGCACTCGCAAAACTGATCATTGCCATCTACATAAGCAGTTTGCTCCGTCAAATATATTGATTGGTTCCGCGATTGGCACTGCGGAAAATTAGACGAAAAAAAAAGTTTAGGAGTGTAGTGTGCACTACAACACAGACAACTAACAGTTTCCAAATGCCGCTGAGAATTTTCGTTTATTACGATTAATCCAAAATCTAATTTATCTATCACATTCATGATGTAATTCTCGGAAAACACTCCTTGTTGGCGTATTACTGTTAAAGTTTGAGTGTTTTTCGCAGGGAGCTCAAAATATTTAAATTCTTTTTAAAGGAAAACGTGTTTTCTTCCATGTGAAGCAAAAAAATAAAATAGTAGAATGCAAAAAGTAGCAAGCACAAGTATTAGCGACCACAAATGACGCTAGACCTTACCTAATACAGCTTTAGACCAAGAGCCCCTGACCACAACTAAGGCAGGGGCAGTTATTTATTGACAATATGAACATGCTCCCGGTGTCCCAATAAGTGTTAACATCTGTGCTGCGGAGCCCGTAAGTTATCAAAACGGTTCACACAATATCCCTCGTCCACAAGAATTGTGAACTGCAGCGTAGACTATTGACGATCGGAAACACCGCTCGGAATTTCTTTCCCGTGCAGTAGTACCCATTACACGTGCCCATCGCTCACATTAAAAACAAGGTACGTGATATGAGAAGGGGTCGGCATCATATTACAAGAGCGTTCGGACCTTCAGAAGCAGCGCTCTCTTAGAACAGTGTAGCCGCTCTGACAGCTCACTTCATCAACCCTTTCTTGAATCGGCGTGTGCCGAGTTCAACGTTCGTCATACACGTCAAGGGATAAAGACATCTGTAAGGCAGATGGCTGCAGGCGACTTCTCGTCTCTCCTCGGAGTCAACTTCAATGCTGACGCTACAGCCGGAATCGGTGACATGTTCCTATTCAAGGAAGGGAAATGTCCGCGCTGGCTTCCACCAAACCATTTTCTGTTCCACCTGGCCAACGCCTCTCTCCTGCTGTCCTACTTGGCCCCCGAAGGAATCTACGGCCTCCTCTACCTGCGCTTCTGCATCGCCGTGGGCAGCTTGTTTTTTGCGATGTGGGGTTGCCTCGTACTGTGCTCGGTGGACACGCTCGTTTGGAACGCCCTGTTTACTCTCATCAACCTGGCGCATCTGTGCGTGCTCGCCTACACGTTTCGACCGGTCCGGTTCAAGCCAGACCTGGAGGTCATCTACAAGGAACTGTTCCAGCCGCTCAAGGTGACCAGGCATCAGTTCCAGAAGGTCGCCGACTGCGCGATGGAGGCGCTGGAACTCGATGCACGCGGCGACTACTCGTTCGAAAAGGTTAATCCTACGGATAGCCTGTCGCTGGTGCTGAGCGGTAGGCTGCTGGCTTATAGAAACGGCTGTGTGCTGCTTTTGATCGGCAAGTTGGAGTTCTTGGACTCTCCAAGATGGTTTTATTCTTCGGGAGGCGATCTTGGTCAGGTGACCACAACAGCCTTGGAAAAATGCAAAGTGATTTTGTGGAATAGGGAGGAAGTCAAAGTAGCCATCAGTAAGGACACCTACCTCAAATCCGTCTTTGACAACGTTGTGGCGAGTGACGTGGTGCGCAAGCTGCGGTTCGTCACAGAAAAAGGATATCAGGGCATGGCGCGTGACTTGGACAACTATTCAGAAACGACTGCACTCTGGAGCAAAGCTGGGCAGTGACTTGTTAAATGTGCTTGTCGGGTTGCATGTCTATATACGTGGAAGCGTGGATATATAATACGGTTCTATATTAATGTAGTAACCCGGCACTCGTACATGGGCAGAAGTTCTGAATATCTTCGTTGTCAGTGAAAATTGGACGTCTTTATTTATTCTATGTGACATTCTGGTTTGGCGACTTAACATTTTGAAAGCAACGAGACGGCATTAAACATCTCGATTGTCGTTAAAAGCTAATTAGACAAGTGGCAAAGGTTCCAAAATCAGCTGGAACACGGTGCTATAAATACGTGCCAGAGCATCTACTTTCACATAGTGCAAGAAGATCGGCCAATCACTGCGATTTGCGGAGAAAGCAGGGCAAATAAAAAATTCCCAAAAAGCGTTTAAAAAAATGAAACCTGTGTCTTGACACAAGTGTACGACGCTTTACTTCTTCAAGTCGAGCGCAGCGTCTCACCGCACACTTACTGTCCTTCTGACATTGTCAGTCACCTAGATCCACCAGTGGACGTCTGTTACTGGCTCTTCGTATGAATAAGCTCTAAGCCCAACTTGAGTATTCATGCGATGCTTAAGTCCAATATACGAGCAGCATTCAAATTTCATCACTTCCCTATGTCACAAGAAGGAGAGCTCGAGGTTGCTGTTTTAAAGCGTTCTCCTACAGAACGAGCACTTGCGCCAGACATGCACGTCTCAAAGCCAGGAGCGCGGGCTGGCCCGCGCTTGTAGCTTTGACTACAGTCTCAGCTTAAGAGGGTGCGAACCTCAGATCCTCATTGTAGAGAATACATGAGGTTTTTCGCCAACTTAGAAAAATTCTCACATAATAACGGCTGCGCAGATCTTCTTGATAATCTCGGCTTTAAAGACATTGAGGCATTATCGAGACATTAAATGGAACAAATGTTTTTATTATAAATTCGATTATATTCTTAACAAAATCATGAAAATGGTCAAAATCGGCTAATTCGGCACTCTTACGTTCGGAGCGAATTTACAAAATTATTTAAATGCAAACGGAAAAAGTATTTCATTGAATGTCTTCCAAATTTATTACAGAATCGAATAATTATTCACGTAAGTTGATCTGTTCCGTAACTACAGCGAATATAAAGAGGCAAGGTGTTGGTGCTTGTTTTCATTGTCTTTAAGGTACTTCTCTTTCCCGTGAGGTGGCGCTCGCTGTCCACGATAGCTTGCGTCGTTTCGGTGAAACGACGCAAGCTAGACAGAGGTTCATACTCTCGCATCAGGGAGATCAATTAGAGGGAGATGATGCGATACAATATATAGGAGCAGTGATGGAGGAGAAATTTCGGGAACGGGTACATGTGGAAGATAAGAGAACCGAAGGAAGTAGCAGTCCAGCTTGTGACATCGCAGATTTTTGCCAAAGAGAATGGGAAAAGGCGGAACGAAGAGTCCCTAGTGGCACATCGACAGGCACAGATGGTATCCCAATCAGGCTGGTGAAGAATTTGGGTCCTAAATCTAAGGCAAAACTAAGGGAGATAGTGAGCACAATGATAACAAAAGGAAATATTCCAGATGAATGGAGGCTTAGTAGGATGAGTATGATATATAAGGGAAAGGGAGATAAGTCTGATATTGGGAATTATCGTCCCCTAACCGTGACACCAGTTATTTACAGGTTGGTAATGCAGATTATAGAGAACAGACTGGAGGGATGGGTAGATTGCGAGGGCATACTGTTCGAGTTACAAAAACGGGTTTCGGAAGCAAAGAAGGTTGGAGGAGAATATATTTTCTCGAGCACAGTTTATAGAAATAGTGCAAATAGAAAACAGACAGTTCTGGCTGGCATTTCTGGATATCAAGGGTGCCTATGACAATGTGAACCAAAGGAACCTGTGGGACATAGTGGAGAGCTTAAACCTAGATGAAGGACTAACAGCAATATTAAGGAACATTTACAAAGATAATAAGGTGATTATAGCATGGGAAGGAAAGGCGACGGGGAAAATAGAGATAAGACGAAGCCTTACGCAGGGGTGCCCGTTATCACCTTTGCTGTTTACCCATGGTTCCATTAGGGTCATAGCAGAGAGGGCAAAAGAGAAAAAAATGCACTCCCCCTCTCACCCCGCATGTCGTCCGCTCCGCCGAGTGGGCTGTAGCTATCGTCCGGCTGGCGTGCTAACTCTGTTTGAAATCGCGTCATTCTGGAACTTTCAAGCGCAGATACGAAGATTTTGTTATGGCAGTTATCGTGTAATACTATGCTAGATAAAAAAAACTCACAGGGCCCAATTGCGCTGTTACCTCCGTGCAAATAAAAAGCAAAAATAGGGAAAACTGTGTCAGATTGGCCGGTCTCTTTGGCGAAAAGTAAATCCGGTTACTGTCCCTTTTTTACTATACAAAAGCTCGTACTGGTGTAGGCCTTTAGCGACCCATGAGTGCCAGTCTGAAATAATAAATAAAACGTGCTCTTCTGCCGCAATACACGCAGTAGTTGAGGGTAGTACTACCGGCTGACTCAAAGATATGCTAGTTGATCATTTAGCAAAATAGAACAACAGAGAGCTATACGCTGATTTTGGAGTAGCCACAACTATTCTAAGAACGCGAACCACTTCACAACGGCAGCCACGAGCGAGAGTTCGATGTTCAGTAGAGCCCGCCGATACAGCCCAAAGATGGAGAACGGCAACCTCCCATTTTGTCGTCTGCTAGCGGAGTCGGGCGCGTGCCCTCTCTCTCGTTTTACCCCGCCGAACCCGCTGAACTTCCCGGATGTGTGGAGAGGGCGCTGCGGTCGAACAGAATGGTGCCGCCCAGAGAGCGCTAAATGGAATGGTCTATGTGAGAGGATTGGAGGATAGACTAGAGAAGAGTGGGCCTGGATTCGACCTTTCGTATACAGTAAGCTAGGCCAAAAAATTCTGCAATCCTTCCCGGGATTGATGTATGCGGATGATATCGTACTAATGGCTAACAACAGGACAGAGTTGCAGGAATTAATGAGCATCTGTGGTAGGGAAGGAGAGGAATTAGGTTTAGAATTCAGTAGTGAAAAATAAGCAGTCATGATTTTTAACGATGATGAAGTTGAGACGCTGAAGATACAGAATATTACAGTTGAGAGAGCTAGTAAATACAAGTATTTAGGAGTATGAATATGTGATGGTGCAGAATATCTCAGTGAGCATGAAGAAAAGTATATAATAGGTAAGGGCAACAAAAATGCAGCTGTAAAGAAAAATAGAGCACTTTGGAATTACAACAGGTATGAGGTGGTGAGAGAGATTTGGAAAGGGGTCATGGTGCCTGGCTTGACTTTTGGAAACGCAGTGCTATGCATGAAATCCGAAGCGCATGCAAGACTAGAAATAAAACATCGTGGAGTTGGTAGGCTGACTTTGGGGGCACATTTCAAAACGCCAAACCAGGGAGAACAAGGAAACATGGGATGGGCGTCACTTGAAAGCAGGGAAGCGGTGAGCAAGATAGAATTTGAGGATCGGTTGAGGCAAACGGGTGGGGAGCAATGGGCACGAAAAGTTTTCAGCTATTTATACATGGGGAGTATAGACACAAAGTGGATACAGCGCAGGAAATTAAGAGGAAAGTTTTTAGGCTATAGTGGAGTTACGGAAGAGCAGGTCTCAGTTAAGAAGAAAGTTAAGGCCACAAAAAGAGATCGGTGGCTAGAGGGAATGCAGACAAAGACGGCTCTGGAAAGCTATAAATTAAACAAAACAGTTGTTGCCAAAGAAAGCATTTATGACAATTCTAGGGGAAGCTCATTGTTGTTTGAGGCGAGGACGGGTGTTCTGCGAACGAGAAAATACAAAGCGAAATACAAGGAAATGGATACAGTGTGCACTGCTTGTGGAGAGGAGGACGAGACGGCTGAGCACTTGATACTCTACTGTAAAGGGCTTCAGCCTATGTCTGCCGAAAACAACATAGATTTAATCAAGTCATTGGGTTTTAGAGACAGCGAAGGGAGAGTGGATTTCAAGACAGTAGAGATTACCAAGCAAAGATTGAGTGAATGGTGGCAGAAAGCGAGAGAAAACTAGGTATTTTCTTATTAACTGATGGCAAGGGGGTTTTTATAGCCTCACTTTCTTTGCAGTGTGGAGTGAACATAGTTTTTACATCTAAATATTCTAAGCTTAAATGGTAAAACAAATTGGCTAGGTGTCGTAAGCTACCGCCCGATCCAAAGGGCTCAGCCGGATTCATTCATCCATCCACCCATCCGAAATCGGGCCGTTTTGCGATGGCTTTCGGGGATCGGCCGAATCGGCACTGTGCAAAGGTGTTCTTCCGCGGCCGTGTTCCGCGCCCGCGTCCTGTTTCATTTTGCACGCCGAGGCCTCAGTCTGCGTGTCTCGCTTTCCTGGTTCACGGTGTATAGGTCTCCGTGTTTTCGCACCTTGGAGCTATCGGTCGAAGACAACCGTCCTATGGCAAGCGGACCGCGAGGTGTTCCACAACCTCGCGGTCCGTCAATGCGCGTTGTGCTTCTTTGTACTTTTTTTTTTATTTTAAAAACTTTTTTTGCGCATTTTTATTTTATTATCTTTCACACAAACGCCCTTCGGCCTTGGGATCGTGGAAATCGGGGATCAAACGTGCACAGAGTAGATCGTCCTTTGCCTCCTTTATATTTTTCACGGACGTCCTGTGACCTCCGTACGGTTCGTGGTCACTAGCAATCTGACGCGGGGAAAAACGGGTCGCCTGTTCTGTAGTCAGGGTATTCCTAGGGGAGGGTGATAACTCGCTGTTCTTCTGGAAATTCACACATTGCCCAAAAAGGTGACATGGGTAAAGATTAGGGTATGTTTTTTCCGGTGTTTATTCTTGAGCAAAAATCAGTGCATGTTTTTCGGTGCTTATTTTTTAAACACTGGTGTATTATGGTTGAACGTCTCGTGATGACGCTAAAAAGCGTTGATAACCGAGGAAGAAAAATGCGATTGGACCAAGAACATTTCAAATTTCCAATTCTATTCACA